ACTGTAGAGAATATAATATTTTGTCTTTCCAAGGGAGAAGAAACAATTCAGAGCCACTTTGAAATTTTTAGCTTAAATATCAGTCTGTACAGAAGAGGTAGTCCTGATATTCTTATAGACATGCTAAAAGTGAATAACTATTCAGTTTTTCCTTTTCATATGTTGGAAGAATGAACTTCTTGGAAAATGTATGGTCATGTGGTGGCTAAGTATTGAGGTATTACTTCTCCTTTTATTTGTCCATCCCTCCAACACAGCAGGCTCCAAAGAAGAATATCAGGACTTATATACAAATCTAAAGTAAAGAGAGAAATGTTTTAGTATAACTAAAATCTGTCAATCTCTTAAATAAAGACAAATAATAATATTCATATTAATAATAAAATATGGGTCAACTAGAAGCACCTCAAGACAGACTAATTGGACACCCCTTTTGTCTAGTGAAAATTACTATATGTGGGAGTGGGAAGTGGGAGATTACACAGAACCTTCACTTCTGAACACGTTTTCAGGCAGGCAAAATATTCTCTCCTTTGACCAGGAATGGATGGAAGATCCACAAATGACTCAGAACCTTGCCCACATCCTGCAAGTCATGATGAAAAATGGGTATTTTATATCTTCTCCCTCTTCCTGCAAAAAAAAAGTACACCTTTCGCCATAGGAGCCTGACCTGACACTGTGAGAGCCTCAAGCCCTTGCAAATTTCAAACCCTGTGTGCATCTCAGTCCTGCTTCCTTTGCTTGAACATTGACTCACTTAAAACACCTAATTTGTTTTTTTTTTGTAGTAAAAAGCAGCAGCGAAAAAGATCCATCCAACTATCATCCCGTCGTCATATAGCGATATCATTGAAAGAAAAATAATAGCACGATACCAGGATAATTTTGTAGACTTAGGTCCAATAATTTTTGCTACCATATGATACGAGATACTACCAGGTCCAAGAGGTTCAAGGCCCATGAATTTGCATTCGTTTCGGTACTCCAGACAAACCGCCTACTCAAATTTAGCCACTGGTTCGCGTCAGACCATCGACATCATGAATTCAACCTTACGGGTAATAAGTCAACAGGTTCCCACGCCGCCGCTATGGGGAGAGCGCCATATATCCGTAGGGCATATCCGTAGCGCGCTTCCGGCTAAAGAAGCCATATCGTTCCATTAAGTCTATTCAGCTGCGTAGCATGGGAGAGAGGGGGGGGGGGGGGCCAGAGGGGGCATGCGTCCCTGTGTCCCCCCCCCCCCCCCCCCCTTAAAAAAAAAAAACACTTCAGCCACTCCTGTTCATTCCGGTTCGCGAACAAAAAAAAAATCCATTTCACGCTACCAGCACAACGGATCCCTCGCCAAGACGAACAAACAGTCGACTGTTTTAGATTTCCTGCCGGGTGTGAAAAAAGCGGAATGCAAAACCCCCGCACGAAAAGGAGGTACACACTAAAAAAAAAAAGGAAAATTAGAGCCATTTAACACTCTCGACCCCGTTGTTCCACACAGCCTTTCTTCGCATCCGAATCCGTATCACGCCCAGCCAGTAAACAAGAGGAAGCGAGCCCCGGCGATAAGACTTCCAAGAACCCAGTCCTCCCGTCCTCCCTCCCAGTCCTCCCATGCCTCATTCCGCATGCATCTGTCCTGCATCCATCGCCTGACGTCACCGAGAGACTCGGCAACCCCGGTGAGATTCCACTGGGTTCTTGGAGCTGCCATCGTTTTCCTCAGACGTTCTAGGCGCTGGGCTGCGCGCAGCGTTCAAGGGGAAATTCAACTCCGAAATAGTTAATAAATAAGAAAATAGATATATAATAAATAAATAAATAAAGCATGTTAGTAAATAAAACCAATAAAAACTATTATAAAAAAACACAAAAAATTCAGTCGGAATCGCTGGATCGCTCTCGGTTTTTTCCTCGATCGGCTTTTGCTCTGCGTTTGGTGAGTAAACACGGGGTGTGGATTGGGGTATTTGCATGTCGTAGCGAGGGCTTCGTGCGTTCCGAGGGGTGGACCGGTGCGTGATGAGATGATTGGAGTCGATGATTTTTTCGTGCCTGATTGGCTCGTAAGGTTTGCTTTGGAGGCTTCGTGTGTTGAATGTCGGTTTCCCACGAGTCAAGGTCTCTCCGGTTGTGCGAGCGTGTCAGTGAGTGGGGGATCGTGAATTGAGAGCTTCTTTTCTCGCAGAATACGGAAATAGGGAAAAACTTAGCGAGCGCCCAGCGATTCCGACTGAATTTTTTGTGTTTTTTTATAATAGTTTTTATTGGTTTTATTTATTAACAAGGAAGTGGGGGGGAACGATATAAAGGGAGAACGGAAGGGAAGAAAGCGGAACAAAGGGCAGGTGAGAATGGACACCCGACGGCCAGGGAAGAAACGTGCAAAACGAAGAAGATCCGTTCCACATGGCAAGCCGAGGGTATCCCGTCCTCCCAGTCCTCCCCAAGTCCATCCTCCCCATCCCCCCCCCACCCGTGCGACCACTACCACCTTCCCGACAGGCCTCCCAGCGACGCGACCATGACGTCAGGCGGCGATCGCGCACCCTGATTGGCTCCGCGGCGACGTCCGGAAATGAACGATTCCGGCCACTCTCCGCGATGACGTCACCCCAAGGCCCACGGAATTGCGCTTAAATTGTGGATCCCCCGCTGGGAGACGACTCTAATTTCTCCCGGGGTTTCCCAACGAGCTCGACAAAAATCCGGCACGCATCCACCACGGAATCATCCCGCGATCGCTGCGAACAGAACCTGCGCGCAAGCACACACACACACACACACACACAAAAAGCCATCACTTCTCGGCTTCATCACACCGCCGTTTTTCACCCTGCCCGGCACACAACACACACCCCAAACGCGCAGAAACCAACGCAAAAAAAAAGAAGTCTATTTTTGTTATTCCGACTCAGGGATTCAAAGCCTCATAATAAATGGAGCATGCAGACTTCAGCAGGAAACGCACGGCCCCCGCGCCGTTCCTCCCATCACCATCTGTCTCAGCCGGCCAATTCAGCACCCAACCTCTGCACCCCATCTGTCATTCGTACTCACGTAATATCACGCACAACAAAAAGTCGTAAATTTTTCCCACCGGCGCGACCGGCACGGTGAGTCCATTAACAGGGGCAGGTGCCACCGGGCGCCCCCCCCCCCTCCCCCTCGTCAGGGTCTAATGAGCAGCCATCCAGATAATTGGCAGTGGACAAACAGGAGATGAACGACACGGGAGCAATTAATCATTGTTGGAGCGTGGCCTGGGACGTCTAGAAACAGAACCGGCTGGTCCAGTCCCCGTGCGGTACGGAGCCGGCCTATAAAAATCGCTGGAAACCACCATTAAACTCCCCCCCAACGACCGGCACTGCACGAAAAACACAAAAATGCGCCGAACTTCTTACCAACACGCTCGAATGCAGTCTCACTGCCAGCCGGACACGACACTCAGCATTTCCGATTTCGCTGCGGATTCCCCGCATTTAGCCCCTTTCTGACGAATAGTATACATTTTAATTTTTTAATATTATTATTCTGCCAAAAACATAATGAAAAATGTAACTGCCACCTACAGCCCACACTCCCCCAACCATGAGGATTGATCAGTCTTGTGGATGTTGATGTGTGGTTGCAATATTGCTTGTCAATTATTAAATACATTCCATTGCTTAATGTACCACTGCCATCTTCTGTTCAGAGTTATGAATACTAGTGAATATGTAATTTTATGCTAACTCAGAATGACAGGGCTCTGAATTGATTATACAATTGGCAGTTGGCTATAATTTGACTCCAAGCACATGGAGGAATTGCTGAATCCCTATAGCCCCAGAAATGCATCTTCCCAAGTGACCAGTGTTCCTCTTTTATCAGCGAAAATCTAGTTAATTTTTTTTTTTAAGTNGGGGGGGGGGGGGGCGGGGGGGGGGGGGGGGGGGGGGGGGGGGGGGGGCCAGAGGGGGCATGCGTCCCTGTGTCCCCTCCCCCCCTCCCACTTAGACAAAACAAAATAACGCAATAAGCAAGAGTAAGACGCATTAAATGCGTAAGAAGTGTTCCCAGAGTTTCCGTGGCCCCCTCACCCTGCATTTTTCATTCACCCTACGCTTATGAACGTTGTCATGCTGTACCCTCATCGAAGTTAGCAATGTGACCGATGGCAGTTACATTAGCGCTTTTATTTTGCTGCAGTCAGATGTAATTTTCAGTTCTGCGACGCGAATATTTTCAAGATACGTTAAAGAAACGAAATGAGTTTTAAATCCACGATGAGCAGTTTTCAATATTTTAAACATTTGGTGGATGATGAAGTGGAGCTAAGCGTCAAGATATCCTGTTTCCTCACAAAAACGCTTCAGGGCAATCGTGCGAATTGTGATAGTAATGCCACATCCAGAGTAATATCTTTCCAAGAGACCTTCGAAATTTCATCCCGTTGTTAAGGCCAAAACAAGACAAAGAATAAGCAAAATTTCAAAATAAATTGGAAACTTAAATTGGATAGGGAACTTTACAATGCAAAATTTTGCCTGGAGGAGCATCCTCCCCTTCCCCAAGAGCACTATATCTTGTCCGTTTTCAATATCCAATTCCTGATCACACTGCTTTCGAATTGAATTCGTAGAAGTTTATGTTGAACGATGAGAGCTTTGTGAATACACCAGGTATACAGCAATTCGCAAAATAATCATTGGCACCTTTCGCATGCGCCTCACAAGTCAAATGTCAAATGCCAATTTCTAGCATGGGGAACCCTCATCTCCTTGGATGCTCCATAGAAGCAACATTGCGCAATGTAAAATGTTGTATGAACTCCTCTGCAGGTACCTGTAAGGCAGAGATGCATAACCCGCGGCCCGCGAATACCTTTTTGCGGCCACTGGGATGCCTCCGGTCTCTAAGGATCCATATTTAAATGCGGCCTATTTCGGCTTTTATACATGATTCACTGGATCGTGTCGACTGTTTTTGTTTTGAAACACTGACCCCGAAACATAATGGAACAAAAGAAATTGAAGTCCACAGAGTTTGGAGGAGGCCAGGAGCTTCACTGTGGTACTCCCATCCCCAGGCCATCGACTCAACCCGGGTGAGGAGGTTCTGAGTGAAGCAGGACTCAAAGGGGTGAAGGGAATACAGCAGAATCTTAACCCCAAATTTCAAAGAACCGCTTCGTGGCATCCGCTATCAATCCTTGGCGGATGTCAACCTAGCCGTTTTTGAGAAGCTGAGGGACATACAACGAAATGGGCTGGATGGAGGCATTCCAGTCCTCCCACATAGGTGGCAACGTGTTGTAGACTGCCTTGGAGAGTACTTTGAAGGATCATGATAGAAGTATTAGCTCTCGTAAATCTCACTTGGAATCCAGAACCACTCGTATCGACGTCGGCCAGGGCATGTCTGCGCGTCTTTTAGGCGCCCGCTTTCAATCTACTGCTACTTTCCCCCACTCGATTACTCTCGTTGATCCGAGATGACAGATGCTCCGAAATGAAAGAGGTTGGAGGCGACAGGCTTGTCTGGTGACGAAGGGTGGAGCGAGTCCTTCACCAGGAAGGGATCCCCATGTCACTCACGCCGAACATTAGGCTCACTTTACATGATTTGACCTTGCCCAGCCTCTTATACTGTATTTCTCTTTTCTTCTTACTCGTCTTTCCACGTCGCCAACGCCACCTGGCCCCATCCTACCCACCCATCCCCGAAGGAGGGGAGGGTTCATGGCCCCCTCAACCACCCTATCTGGGCGCCCCCTAATCGGAATCCCTCTCAAATATTGGAATGAAAGCATTGCAGTCGTTTCGAAATGCGGAAAAGTCGTCAATTGAGGAAAGGTAAGCAGCAAAAGAGGGGGAGGGGGGAAAGGGGCAGGGGGTTAGGAGGGTTAATAGGGGCCAGCGATGCAACGAAGATGCATGACAGATTTCTTCATCAGATGGAGGAATTCCTTGGAGAAATTCCCAGTTGATGCCTGAATCATCCGTGATGAAGCGAAAAGATTTTCGTGCCAAAAACATCTCCAGATGTTGAGAGAGGCTGACGCCTATCTTCCAGAACAGGAACCTTTCAGCATGCAACTTTTTTCGCGCATCGCGGATTAACGTAGCAAAATCCGTGCAGTCCCAAAGTGGCACAGCATTTCTAGATCCAAATTCCTTCGTTTGTCGTTCCGAGGATCAATTTCTCTTCCCGGGTGGTCATTGGAGTTTTGCCATTTCATACCAGGTCCTTTTTTTTCGTCATGGAATCCGTGAGATGGTGTAGACACGAGACAGATCTAGGCCCAGCCATTCTGACGTCCTCTTAATCGAAATCCAATGATTCCAGTCGGAGGAAACTCAATCGAGGTTGGGATCTCTCTGCAGTTTCACTTCAGTCCCGACTCGCTTAACATCCATTTCATTTTTGCGTGTTGGCTTCTGTGAGTGAATCCGAAAATGCAGGAACTCATTTGGCGTACGGAGTACATTCCCGGAGACAGACCACGTGGAAGGAGTCTTTCTTCCCCCCCCCCCCCCTCTCACTATATTTTACTTCTCCCTTAGCTAAGAGCTTGGTTTCACCCGCTCAAACACGAGGGTCGACCCTAGAACATCGAAATTCGCCCTTGACTTTTGCAGCATACGGCTCCTCGTCCATCTGGCTCGTGTTCCGTCGGATCGGGTACAACTGCTTTCTTTGGCCCGAGAAACGTTGGCTGAAGTAAAAGAAGCCCTCCATTTTTTCATTTCTCCATTTTGTCATGAAATTTCTCTTTCATGCGATCATCTCAATTTGAGCGAATTGGAGTGAGGACGAAATCGGCTTATGAAATGACCTAGAAGCCGTACATACACTTAACCGCCAAAGCTTCTCTTTGTCTATCGGATGAAGCCCGAACGAGACGGCTGCCTGAGCCCGCCTCTCCGTCGCATCCCTTCCCCCCCCCCCCCCCCTTCTCCCCTCCCCTCCCCTCCCCCTCTCCAGTAACTTGTCACGCTCACAATAGCTGCTTTCTCTAGTCTTCAAGCTTTTTCCTTCTTTTGCTCTGGTGTCATACCTTCGAGCGATCATTCCGGAACAGAGTAGTCCGTAAATAGGAATGACTGTCACTTTCGATCGACCCACCCCGAGTATTGTAGCCACAAATAATCGGAAAATAAATTATGGCGTGCACTCGCGGGTACGAGAGGTGACACCCTCTCTGAGTACACTCAACTTGTTTGTTTTGCTTGTTTTTTATTATTATCTCATACGCCTCACCGTTCCGCATATGCTATCGATCTCGCAATGATTAAAATGAACCACAGTGAATATGGAATAGGTGAGACATACAGACACTGCATTTTGTAGCGTGTAGACCGCGGAATCCCTTCGTCGCTTGAGTGCCGTCGAACCCGGTCAAAATTCCTTACCAGCCCTCTCGTCTCAACCCCCATCCAGCGGTACAGGTCCTCCTTCCCCGGATCTTTTGTTTCCAGGGATTCTCTCTAACAAAAAAATGATAATAATAATAAATAAAAACTTTACTTCTTTCCCGTGTGGTATTTGTCCAATTGTGGAAAGTTTAAAAAATCTGATCGAACCAATCGACAGAAGTGGAACGGCAATCCATCGCTTGCCACATTCGCGCATTTTGCCGACTTGAGAATATTATGACAGGAATCCGGCGAAGGACGTCGTGGTGAAGGATCGGGAGGAGGGGACCCACGATCCACTAGACCGTCCTTCCGTGCAAAGCAGATGTTTCCTCCGAGATTCCACGACGACACGTCGAGAAAATGGCGTCCTCTTCCGAAAGGCAGGTTCGTGGACGCACCGTCGTCGTCGAAGTCGAAGGAGGAATTTGTTCTGAATTCTGAATTCTGGAGAAATTCCGGAGCTGGAAGTCGAGGCGAGCAAACAGCTGCGGACCAGGTGGATAATAACTGCGAAAGTGCTCGTGATGAATGTTCTTCGTTGATGACGCGAAAAGGAATACCCATAGAAGATAGATGAAACACAAGAAAATCCTTTTTCGAAAGGGAGGAACGAACAGGGAAGGGACATGTTTAACACCCGAATCTTCTCACCTGCGTTTTGACACCCGTAGGAGTTCTCCGCAGCATCTGATATCAAGTGTTCGAAAAACGGCTTGTACTGCTTCAATCGCTCGTTCTTGATACATCTCGAATACGACAGGTTTCATCATTATTTCACTTAACGACAAACTAAAAAAAAAAAAGAGAGATTTGCAGGGAGAAAGAGCGCTCACCTCTTAACCCCCTCCCCCCTCCCCCCTTTCTATTGTGCTGCTCCTTAATGGGATGGGCTTCCCTCTGCTTCCGTTTCCCTTCCAATAGTCGCTTTTCGCTGTCGATGAAGAGATGACGTAGGATCTCGCATGCTCGATCACATGAATGGACCAAAGACGCAGAGATTCAAACGTTGTGCCGTCTTGGCTCGGGACCCAGTCCGTACAATTTTTTTGTCTGCGGAATATCGTCCTTCATGCCGACATGTAACGTGAATAAGTGTGGAGAAGGAATATGCAGAAAAATGATGCATGCAGATCGTGAAGCGATGACATTCGACTCAGACTTCATTCCGCTCGAACGGTCTCCTATAAGGACTAGATGTCCCCACGTCCCCGGGATGTCCCCGGGATGTCCCCACGTCTCCGGGACGTCGTGGGTCGAACGTAATGCCGTCGATCGTATGTAAGCAGTCGCCTCTTGGGCGGCAGCTTAGTCCCTTAGTCCTTAGTCCCCTCGTCTTGGTCCCTTTAGGAGTTATAATCGTTCATGTACGGTTTCAAACTTTGAGCTTTAATTTTTGTGTCTTCAAGGATTGATATGGTGTGAAGTATTCGGAGGATTGTTTGCACGTGGCAACATCACCTTTGTTTATGCTCTAGCTACGATCAAAGATTATATGTGACATTCCTCGGAAAAGGTCATAATGTTCCCCCCCCCCCTCCTTTTGTCAAGAAAATTCAGTACTTAAAGGGTTAAGCTGCCTTCCTTTGTAGGGAATCATTGTTCACACGGAAACGGATGGAAAGGAATGGAAGCTTCGTGCCTTGCATTCTCACCCATATCCACCGTTCTTTAGCATTTTTTCACGTAATGGATTAGCATAACCGTTACGGACGGTCACGGACGGGACGAACCTTTGACGGACCTTTGACGGACCCATGACCTGCTCGAAAGCGCATGGATGGGAATCAGCGACACTTCCTTTTGTGAGATGTAGACATTGCCGTACCGTGGAACTCGCCTGGCTCTGCCCTACACCCATATATGTACCACACCAGGATAAAGGGTGTGAATCATGTCGAACAAGCGTCTCCCGTTCGTGCCATCGCCGCATTTCGTAGGAACGAGCCGTCTCGTCGTAGCCGGTCTTCGTCCCGATCGGCATTGTTTCACCGCGCCCGAAATTCTTTCGGCTTCGCTGGGGGCCGGACTCCGATCGAACCGGAGGAATAGAATTTTCCGATTGGGAAAACCCTCGCTCCTACTGTTTTCACTGCAACGGAGAAGGGAGAGTTTTGCGAGAAACAAGGATAGGAGAAGACAAGTAAAGGGGGGTGGGGAGAGAGTGCATGGTTTTATTTTCGTTCCCACGTCCTAGGTTCCTAGGCCCAGGTCTAGATCTATTCAACCTTCTGCTGCTGCTTGGTGCGTGCTTCTCCCGCGTCTCTCTTCCCCTCTCGCTCCGTTTCGCCCAACCAGGGAAAAGTTTCGTCGTCAACCTTCACGACCGTTGTACGTCTCCACGACTCCTTCATTTAACGTCTTCTTCCGTCTCTCAGAATCAGGAACCGTTGCAGGAACGAGGCACGCCAGGAATATGACAGGTTTTCGCAAGTATTCCCTGAGTAGTTTTCCTGGTTTCATCCTCCCCAGAAAATTCTGTTTTGAGAATCCTACATTCGCATCGAAACAAAACCGTATCGCTTCGATGAAGCGATTAATTAGTAATTCTTCTTTATTTTATTTACACCAAATCATGGATGGTTCCGAACGAAGGGTTCAGAAAAAAAACTTAAAAGAAAATTGTTTTACCAGTAAAATCACTTGACGAGGCTGAGCGGTATCGTTTCGTCCGTTACTCCCAAGTACAAACGCCCCGAGTCTCTTTCCATCGATCTCGTGCTTGAATGAGCTGGCCAAAATTATTATTATTTTTGTAATAAAATAAGGACTAGTTGAATAAAAACAAGCCTGTCTCTGCCTGCACGTGGGGTTCATAAAGGAGCCAGAGAGGAAGAGAATTTTGGCGTTAGTTCAGGAATCAGTTGGGAGCAGACGAGACCAGACATTGGAGTGTCATGACATGACGCATGGATTCTCAGATAACCCGAGTCAACTCTAATCATCGCCTTTTCGATCTCCTTCACCAGTAACAAATGGGCTGGATGGACCCGATCGAAAAGAGGAAAACCTTTTCAGAGTACAGGTATTAGCCAGCAAGAAAAAAAAAAAACAGGATTGCTGCAGGATGATGCTGGACTGATCGGCAGCGAAGATGACGTCGATTCGAGAGAAGGCGGGTCGAGTCCCAACCTTGGTGCATCGTCAATTCAATTCCCCGCTTCTCATGTACAGCCCCGAAGCTGTTGCCGAGACTCTGGATGCTCACATGAAGGTCCTCAAGACCGGGGCCGTTGGGTACGTCCTCGTAACCGCCTTCTTTTTCTTGCTATCCTTTTCGTGATGTCCAGGAGGAATAACCATGAGGGATAGCCATGAAGAATGTTGAGCCTCCACGACTGCAGCCTCTCCTTCGTTCCGGCTTTCCGGGCTTCCCTAACGACCAGGGATAACCAGGTCACCGACTGCAGACTTGGAAGGCTCAGATGGGGAGCTGGAACTGCGCGTACCTTTAAAGACGCGATTCATGATGAAAAATGGGATGGATAAGAAATCCGGGTAGGAAAAATGAGAGAGAAGGAGAAGGCGTGGGTAGAAGAGATTCCATGCGTGAGTCTCCCCGGGAACGTGCAGGTGTCGCCCGCCAGAAGTGCCTGGCTTCCCCTCAGTCGCACTCGACCCTCTTCCCCATTTCCCTTATACTTCACCTTCATTCCGAGCTCTCACTCTGGTCTTCTGAACTTCCTTCCTCACGTGTGAGTGGAAATTGATCGGTTCGCTTCGCCGCGTCCTCCTCTCACGGAATCTGACCATGGTAACCACCACTAAACAAGCCGAGATGCAAACGTGTGCTCCGATTCTACGCACTTGCGAGTTGTGATTACCTCCATTGCATGAATTCCTTCCGTGTAGATTCCCTGTTCGGATCCATCAGGTTAATTGCCTCGTTTCGCCTCGCTGCATCTGAAGGACGAAGTTCCATCTCGAAAGTGAAGTGATTTTCTTAAAATAAAAAGTGCAGGAAAAGAATAAGGGGGGAAAAGATACTTTTCCAGGTCGTTCGTAATTATAACCCCGTTACGTGAAGTGTTTGCCCTCGTTTTCTTTTTTGTCTCGTGGAACATTTATGTGCCGTCTCGCTGGCACCCGGCCACTGCTACAGTGCGTGTGAGAATGGTAGGTACCTCTTTCTGCGGATCTTGCGGATCTCATGCTTCTGTCCATGTAAGCGGAAGATGGAATCGTGTAGATTCGTGTCGCTAGTTGCCATTGCCAGGGCAGTCACAGGCCACAAATTTTTCCCTGACGTCTTTAATCATCCGTGGTCTTAAGGTTCATTTGTCTTCTCCTTCTCCTTCGACTCCCCCCCCCCTCCCCCTTTGTATGATCTCAAGCGATTCCCATAGACTATTAGCTAAGAATTAGGGAACTTCAAGTCAGTGACTTCTCCCACTTGTGGATAGAGTGCTGCTATTTTTTTTATTATTCTTACTCAACGATAAACCCTTTCTGGAAAGTAAATTCTTTATCTTAATGATCTATTACCCCACAATATCGAACAGAGATTGTGGGGCAGTAGATTATTAAGACTAAGATTATTATTATAGATCTCCTTCTCCCCTTCAAATTTATCATATGACAATAAAATCTCAACCCAACAATAAAATCTCGACTGCACAGCTACCGCCATGATGACCTTTTCCCCCGTGAGTCCTATGCCAAAGAATGAAACAAAAAACGAAGAGAGAGAGAAAAAAATCGTTCCACTCTTCAGTCTCCCTGAGTCATCGCGGTAAATGGGTCCAAGTAAAAGGCAACAGGGGGAAGATGACTATTTCAAGCATTCTTCCCAAGCCCTTAAATCATCTCTCTCTTTTCCCCATGAACAATGGTGGCGTTTAAATTGATTGGATTCCTGATAGTATCTCCTACACGTGGTGGAGTGACACAGCTGAGATGAAATGGAGCCTGACATGTCGTTGGCAGGTTTCCCTCCTCTTTCGGCACGCACATCTTGCATCTTGCTTCTGTCAAGAAGGACCCAACTGTCCCTTGGCAACATTTCCCTTCCGCCAACTTTGAAAGACGTTTCTCTCTTTCTCTCGTCCCGAATATATCCAGGGCGTGCCTGAAAATACTCGAGGATTCGAGCTATTCTTCGGCGATCAATCTTCGCCTGATGAGCAAGGAGTGTTGATTCTCCGCGCTCTAATTGGCTCCTAGTCCTTCTTTGTTCTCCGATTGGCAGCCCTCCCAGGATCACTCCTCTCCCTTTCAACGAGTCTACGTACGTGTGTTTTCCTAGCATCGATTTCGGGGAATTGTCCGCGGCTCCGAACTTACGCAAAAGTGAAGTCTTGCGGGCACTAGAAGAGATGGATCACCGCGGACGACCTGGCGTGTGGCCTCCTGCAGCCGCAGGTCAGCAGACTGAGGAATCCACGTTCTACACCACTGATCAAGGTATTCCCTCCGCTTGCCGTATTCCTTTCATCACTAAAGCACATTAGCCGATGCATGCATCTATCACACTCAGTAGGTGGCCCCTGCATCTTCTCTTCTTTTTATCTCTTTCGCAAACTCTCGACATAGGCAATGAAGGGATGGGCACGAAGTCCCGAACAAACTCTTACAAATGTCATTTAACGACCAATTCAGAATGTTGGTGTGTGCATCCTCGTTGTCTTCGCATAGGCGAATCCGTCTACGGGTACTTTGCGACATCCAGGGTTGCATTGTTGGCTTGACGAGAGTAAATGGACAAACTACATCCTTCAGTTGAACATCATCTGCATAGCGCACTTTATTTTGTGGGGATTTTGGGAACTTCGTGCCCACTCTGTACGATGGAGGGTTGTCATTGTAAGCGTACGCGTGCTTGATGAATGCAGGGAAGCGTGTGCACTGGCCACCAGCAGAAGAGGAGGGAGTTGAGGAAGGATCTGCCAGTCCATACCAGGTCGTTTCTTGTCTCCCTCATTTCCCTTTCTCCGTCTCCATCGTTAATCACGGACTCATTCTTTCTTTGTTGGTCTTTTCCTCTCGTGACCATTTCAGGAGACGCCAGGACTCCACCAGCATTCCCATCAGAGTCACCATCCCCATTATCACTATCAACAGCAGCAGGAGCCGCCCCCGACAATGATGCCTTTGAGGATGGTGACACCGATTTCCCAGCCTTCCCAGCCGGTCCACATCACTTTCCCCACTTTGAAAGTTCAACCCAAGAAATGGATGAGAGGAGACCAAAAATGGCCGCCGAAACCCGCTCAACCTGTCGATGAAGAACCCCCCAAAGAGACCCTGCGACCCCTAAAGGTAGGGGAGCATTCCACTTCATAACACGGAGAGTTTTTATACTGGATGCGCCTAACACGAGTCTTCGTGACGTCTTTCTCCTATAGCAAAGGAAAGACTACAGGGAGTTCTTCGAGGCGAACAAGCTTCCCATGAACTACCCAGGGTACAGGGCTCCGCCGGGAACCCAGTACTTTGGGCACGAGACTGAATACGAAAACTACCAGACCCAGTATCAATCCTTGCATCAAGGCCAGACAGATATGTGAAACTATGGACAGGAATTCCCGTTCTCCTTTCCATCATACTGCCCATTCAACCACACAACATACCCACTGCCCGAGATGCATCTGAAAATGCAGATATTGAGCTTTGTGGGATCGATCTGCATGTCTCCAGAATCATTCGATTTTTATTTGCTTTTTCTTTATTGAAATCCCAGACTTTTTTAATATCTTCCTTGGCAGAGCAAGGGAGATGGAGGAGGGAATGTTTCCTCAAAACCAAAACTTAGGTAGGTGGCTCCCAGCCACAACCCTTTTTTTTTTTTAAGTGAATTTTACTGAGCTCCTGACCATGACCTCATCGAATGGGAATCATGACCGATCGCAGGGTGATTTTTCCTTTGATTGCTTAATCTTACCTCGACTAAACTGTGATGAAAACGGTTCGACTAACGGAGTGGACACTTGGTTCTCTCTCTTCTCTCAATAACATGCGCCAATATATGTCCTTTGTTGAAGCAATAAAAAATTCTTAGTTGCTTTACCTCGTCGATTTTCATCCACTCTGATGAGCATCGATTGGAAAGTGTATTCCTCGAAAGAAGGCAAATCACCTCGAACCTGGAATCATCGGTCACGGAAATGTGAACAGAAGACAACTTTTCCAAAAGGGGAACCAATAATTTCATTTCCTTTTTTTCCAATCTCTCTCTTTGTCAAGCACGAGTACAGTAGGTGGGAAAAAGGGGAAAGAGCACGATGACTCTGAAAATCGCACAGATGCACATGTGACACTCGTGGCACAGGCGAGAGGGGCTTCACCTGCGAAGAGGATCACACCTGCAGACGCAGCAGGAGGGGAAGAGGAACCAATCCATGAAGATGCCGGCACAGTCATTATCCGGATTGTAAGCCAACAATCGGTGCCACTTGTACTTCTGCTCACAACCACAGTCTCCCTGGCAGCGCCGAGTCTGGGTTCCTCTTCTTGTCAACACCCGGACAAACACAAATAAAATAGTCATCATCCTCATTCCTCATCTCGGGGCTAGAAAAATTACTGTGAAGTATTGATTAGACGGAGGATTTAATCCCCGAGGCAACAATTTTTGAAAAGTTTCGGGAGAGACATCCAACTCGCTCTTCGAAAGGGTGTCTTCCACTTTCGCCCCCGTAGACTTTCGTCCCCGAGACTTAATTGATAGTTGCTAAATTTTCCCCTTCATCTCATCTCGATAAACGGGGGCGAGAGTGCACAGGGACGGCTTTCCAAACGTTGATTTCGTGACTGATAACCACATCTGCCTTGACCTTTCAAAAGGGGAGGTAAGGTTAACTCCCAGTTTCGCTCTCCCTCCCTATGTAAGATAAGATAATGAAAGTGACTTGGAGAGGATAGGAACTATAGTTCCTCATGGATTCAGAAATCATTGTTCTTATGAAAAATCTTATATTGCAGTCAAATAATTATGGTATAAAATGCACAAATTGGGTCATACAGCTAAAAAAAAATATTGCATCTGAACGAACTGCTTCCGAAGGAACAGATGATCTAACCAAATGACACCACATGATACAGGGCTATGACTTTTTTAAAGATCAATTTCGTTTGTCCGAAATAGATGAATAGATTCTGGAGATGGTTAATCCAAGCCTCCCAGTCCCTCTATTTCTCTTCGCAATCCGTGTAACTCAAAATCTACGCAAAATCTACGGGAACGCTGAAGGTACGAAAGGGCTCATCCATAAAAATTAGTTCTGCCCGACACTGCTGGAGGCGTTATATTGAGATTTAAAAAAATGCCGGAATATTTCTCAAGGAAAATGTCTGTAAAGCACCATCCGGGATGACTATCGAGGCCATGCTATTGTGGGGGCCGCGATAGTATCTCTACCGTGGGGCAGTTTGGGAATCCTCTCGCACGATAGTCATCTTAATCACTTCCTCTTGCTCTGCCCAAGTCTCATTCTCAGAGTGAAATTCTCCCTTGTAAACGGGTGGTTTGTATTCGCATAGCTTCATCTACTATCAGAGAATTTTCTGGTGGGTGATTGTTATACTGGGGGGAGCCGAAAGAAAAGGCTTGGCTTCTTTTCACGTTCACTCTATGAGATCTCACCCACGTACATCACGCTCCTCGTGTTCGTCATTCCTGTACGTCATGGGTATCCTCATTGCATTTTTATGCTTGTAATGTGGACATGTTCGTTGCGTAATACATTTTTATTTTATTGCGGTATTGTTCCATTTTGGCTACCGACCGAAACCCGAGGATTCCGCCGACAGGTGGAGAATTTGCCTGGGGTAAAGTAACACGCCACTTTGTGTGGCACGACTAAGACATTCGGATGCAGTAAACCCCGCAAATCACTCCTACCAGTGAAGGGCCTCGGCACCTTGTGAACTACCCCACGGCCTTCGTCAGAGAGCGAAGGGGCGTCCCTGCCCAAGGGACTGTTGGGTGTGGTACCTGAGCCAAGCAGGCACCCCCTTCCTCATTACGCCCTATAATTGGAAAACGTTCGTTCTTCCATGAGTCCTTCGCGAGTCCCATTTCCTATCAATTTAATTACCGATTTAACTTGAAGATGCCAACACGCTTAAAATTCTCCCCACTTGCAAATCCCACGTTGATGTTGGAGTTTCACGATACACACGAAGGTATCATTCACACTTCCCTATACCTGTAGAATCTGTTGACTCCCTCAAGATACAACTGTCATAATGTCCCACCTTAGTTCCTCTTCGTGGGTGGCGTTCATGGCTGCTGTCAGTGTCATATGTGACAACGTAACGTAAACAATGCATTTATCTAAAGAAAAAAAAGTTCCTTGTTGAGGTAATGCGTGCCGAGCATGCGAAGTATCTCACTCGATAGTTTGAATCGAGGTCGCTTCGGTCTGCCGAGGAAGTCAATAGTTAACGATGCCCATCACGTTGTGAGTCGTGACAAATACTAAAAGTGCCTTTCTAATCGTTGTAATACGTGAAATGTAATACGATGGCATTAACTTGTCAACAGACAAAGACAAAATTGTAATACGGGACCTTGAAATCTAAACACCTGAATGGAATGGTTTCGGCTGCACGAAAACAAAATAATCCCTTTGTCAAGGGAAGAGAAAAAGCTGATAATGTGGCTGGGGAGCTGTGACATTCCATGAGTATAACAGGATTCGATTAGTGTGTCTTTCCAGGAAGGGCAAGATGTTTATACTTTTGAATATAGCAAAAAAGGTGAAAAGTGGAAAAAAGGGGAAAAGGAGAAAATCTCTGAAAATACCTGCATATATGAGTCGGGGTTTAAGTCAAGATGGCTGAAGCCGATCTTTTGATAACAAATGCTCGTGATATAAGAAGTTATAGATTATGATATAATAAATTATAGAGTAAATTATATAATGATTTTTATAATAGCACTTTTGATTATGTTCAAACGTTAGGAAATATTTAAGAAATACAAATTTTGGTTACCATATACAGCGCAGTTCCCAGTGAAATTTCAGGAGGATATTCAAAAGAAGTCACAAGGCGCGAAATTCTGACATTAAGTGCTAAAAGCTCACCAAACCTTATCCGTAAACCGTATTAAACCTTATTTTAGCTACTCCGTGTATCTAAAATGTACACAGGAACACTTTGCTGGAGAGGGGATAGTAATCTGTCTGAACCTAGGCCCCAAAGAAAAGTTCTGGCTGCGTCACTGGGTCTATTACAGTGTTGTTGCGGGATTCAAGAAATCACTTATAATCGAAATTATTTCATAGCGATTTAGCCAAGTTTTCTTGCGGTATCATACTGATTCCAGTCTATTTTCTAATGAAATCGTTCCATTCCAATTCCATCTACTCACAATTCCATTACCAGTTAAATATCAGAGTATTTGTTCTATTTCTTAACAGCATTACTTAGTTAATTTTAGGAGAATAGGGGTTGCTGGCCATGCAGTTTTTCGACTGGTAGTCTGCTGAAAGAGCATGCTTCACTCGGTTAGACTGTAGAGTTAATGCCTTCAACAAATAATGCATCAATTGCATTACAGAAAAGTCAATATCTCAACAATGCATGGCTTGAAATGTAAATTCTGACAGGAATTAAGATTTTCAAGGACAATTCCAATCGCACTCCGATTCCGTACTTCATGTTAAAACATGCATCCCGGAGTTCAACAGTTGTACAAGCTAGTCATAACGAAAACAAAGCCCATGCTTTGATTGGCATTTCACCTTCATAAAGGGATAGATAAAAGCAAACTGCATGGCATAAGTAAGTCATCCTTCATAGTCGAAGCAGGCATGCAAGGACGTTTTCCAGAAGGAAGATGGATGACCTCCTTAACCGAGACAGCATTGGTGTGACTCGGTTGGGAGGCTTGTGTAAAATACCATCGGGGTTTCAGACTGGTCAGCAATGATTAAAAAAACATGCAGCAGGCAGTGACGGACAAGCCTGACGCTTTCGAATTGTGGTTGATGAAACACCCCATTCAGGTTCATAGCCACTTAGAAAAGTAACGAGCACCCCTCTGTGCAGCACTAGCTTTGGGCTTAATTCGACGATGCATCATTCCCAATGTAAAATCTCCAGTACCAACTGTTTCCTAAATGCATGCCAGAACACGAGCAGAAATACGATATCTGAAAGGACCTGCTGGTGGCCCTGGCGCATCGTGCTATAGGTGCCCCCTCGCGCTAAGGACTCTTATCATATCTGGTAAGAGATCGCTTTCTTCCAGGTATTTTTTTTTTTTTTTTACTGGGCCACGATTCAATTGCTGCTAAGAAACTGACCTTGAAAGAAGTCGACCCGGCCTCGCACCTTTCCTCTACCTTTGTATTTCGTTTCTCTCATGTCTCGCCCGCGACGGATATAGAGTAAGGTGAGCTTGCACTTTTTAATATGGGAACGTGCTTGGATTGTGGCGCTTGCAGCACGCTGTAATACGGTAAGCCGCGTTTTGGTTTCAACTGGCTAGTGCAACGCATGTACCCCATACATCCCATTCCAAGGATATCCGGAACCAAGCAAGAATTATCATCCGCGATACCAATGCCACGATATTAATGTAGTATTCTTCCCGCATTTCTTTAAGCCGTTCTTTTTTACCATTTTTGGCAGTTTTTCTTGGATTTGTCAGACTTTGATTTGTCGAAAGCAAGCTTAGACAAATCGCCACCTTCATTTAAAAAAAAAAATGATTTAGCACTCAATTTACAACTCGTATCCTCAAATGAAAAAGTATGAAACTCACGTAAAACGCAACTGAACTTGGTCTTAAGACCAGGTTTAACATTTGACCTCAATTTTGAAACACTCTTGTTACATGCATTATCACGTTGAAAATAATTGAAGTATTGTATCGGGAGAGACGTATGATGTTTGTCGATATTTCATAAGGGAATGAAGGAGAAAATGTAAACATTTTAACGATTGTTCCCGGTCTCTCCCATCGATACAATATCGAACGTTCATACGCTTTTTTCCTGAAGCGCGCAGAGAGGTAGAGAAAGAAGAACGTACTGGCAGATTTCTTGGTGAATGGCTTGCTCAAAGTGCTGCGTGTTCACGATGGCCCGGATGTCCCCTGCGCTATTCGACGCCCAATACGGAGTCACGATCTCCACCTTCGATTCGCAGGCATCTTCTCTGAACGAATCAAAGAGAAATGAACAGGATCCTCAAGTCACGGAAGCCCACGGCCCACTTCAGGAACACGAGTTCATTCGATCGCTTTTTTTAAGACGAACAAACAAAACTTTCGAGCCAGCCAATGAATCAGATCATCGCATCTGAAGTTATTTAAATTGCAAATCGATCACTCTCATTCTCGCGGCAGATGATTATCTAGCAAAGAGCGACCGCCCAAAGGCAAATAGCTATAGGAGGGAAAAGGATTCATGTATTTGAACAGGGGTCATCAATTGATTCCCGGTTATCCGCAAAAGGAATTGAACTCTACAGCTGAATATGAATACGCCTTTTTTCAGCCGGATATGACATCATCCCCCCCATCAAGATGACATCAGAAAGGCAAACCCACAAAGATTGCCCGTGGGCAAATTAACCCGGGGAATGAAAAAGGAGTGATATATGAATGCTTCGTAGCTGTTTGCTTTGCAACTTTGGAATGTATCTGAAGAAGGTAATAAAATTCAAAGTACTTTATAATTGGAAACGTTGTATCCCCAAAGCTCTCGAGAAAATAGGTGAAATAATATATTCGAAAAGTACAAGTAAAACATAAACAAGGCGAACGTGAAACAAGTACTACTGCATATCAAGCAACACAGTGTAATGAGTACAACGTCTTCGAGAGCGCAAAGCAATGAGCTCTAAAATTTGGAATGAGAATAGGACATGAGCTGGCTCATTAGAGAAAGCCTTTTCAGCTTTAATGTGACTAGGGAGACTGAACGTGACTCGGAACTGATAGGCAACGAAACTTGAAAACCTGTTAACACGATGCTGACGAAGACAAGGAGACATGGGTTTACTGCTAATCTGCCCCACCAAAATGAAATTGGATCATGGGAGCAGTCCCTGGAAGCCCCAGGATCCTAGGTCTTTTAAGGCTGAAAAAATATCAATAATAAATAAGAGGTGCTTTTTTTCCATTGGGAAGACGACCCCAAAAATAATAATAGTCCGGGTGCACAAGAGCTCCGCGTGAACTTTTGAGTTTAATTTTTTAACCCTGTTGACCCGATTTATTTATTTTTTGGTGTCAGCAATAATGAGTCATTTCTTGATCCTACCGGGCAAGTGCTTCCGAACAGTTGCATCTCAAAGCACTGAGCAATCAACGATGAACATGTGTCCAGCAATGTCAGTCCATTTTTATGGAAAACAAAATATCCTCTACTGTTTTCGCACATGTACACTGACCACATGGTTACGCTAAGTTAACGACCTACTCCATAGGGTAGGAAAACCTAAACTGGAATTTTTGAACAGAGCATTATCCGATAATGCTGCTTTATTTCAGAGAAAATGCATTGTAAGGGTGGATTTTTGAACAGAGAACTATCCGATAATGCAGCTTTATTTACCGGATTTATAATGCATTTTCTCTGNCATTGTAAGGGTGGATTTTTGAACAGAGAACTATCCGATAATGCAGCTTTATTTACCGGATTTATAATGCATTTTCTCTGAAATAAAGCAGCATTATCGGATAATGCTCTGTTCAAAAATCCACCCTAAATCTGGTAAATAAAGCTGCATTATCGGATAATTCTCTGTTCAAAAATCCACCCTTAGATTCGGCAGCATCATGGAGGGAGAGAAAAGAAGAACGGAAACTGGAAGAGGTGGGAGGGAGGAACAGCCTCTTCCTTCCTCTTCAACCTCTGCATTTCATATACCCAGGCGGCTCCCAAAAAGTTCACAATTTTACCCGGCTATAGACAGGAAACCATTCCAGGGATCGGCGAGAAACGTGCAGGTTGTCACATTTAACGCGTGCAGGGGATTTTGAGAAATTTTCCTAACAGTTGCTCAGAACCCAAATAAAAGCTCTTTTTTCCTCCAAGTGATGTCAAATAAGTGACTACGTCTGAATTGGGCCAGGGTTGGGTTTGGGCTGGGCCAGGGCGAGTCACATTGAGTGCGGAGGAAGCAGCTAGGTTGAACACACCGACACATTCGTCACATAGCGTGGAGGAAAATCGCTTACTCGGGTTCTTAACGACATATTTATTGAAATTATCGTGAAACCACTCACACGTGTTGAATGTGTTTAATTCCTGCCGATACCTAGTATGGCTTAAGTCTGCAGCCATGTAAAGTCGAGAAGGTTATTTTTTGGGCCACCTTGAGGCCGGCTCTCGATTTTTACGCTTATTCGTATTCGGTAATCAGTGAGCCGGCTGGTACCTCTTGGAATCGGTGGCAGAAGAAAAAGTCTCAGGAGGCGGTCTGGCCCTCTTGACTCTCTTAGAAGAGCCGGTGGAGTTTTTGTCGTCTTCCGCGACAGAAGAATCCAGAGGCCAGAAGAACTCCTCGGTCGCGCTCCGTTTGCCCCGGAACGAGAAGATATCCCCCGGTGCCACGAACTCCCCGTACATCCGACGTATCAAGGCCTTGTTCTCATCGATGAACCGCTCGATCTGCTGCCTAACTCGCAGATTCCAGGAACGAAATGGAGTCGTTGCCCGAAACGCGATTCGGCTGTTATTCGTGTGGGGGACTCACGCCGGGTAGGTGTTCCCCGGTCGGGTGCAGAGGAGTTGATTGAGCATCTTGACACAGGGGAGACCCCGAATGATCTCTCCTCGGATCTCCAATCCCAGGGCCACTGACAGTGCCGTCCATAGAATCTAGGATACAGAAATCAGGATATACGACGATAAAAACAAAACCAGGAAGGACGAAAACTCGTGGTCCTTGGCAAGGACGATATTCTTGTTTCCCCCCTCCTTCGAATGCAACCGGGCGATAAAGCGGATTCCCACCCCCATATAGTGCCATGAAAGGTGCTGCTTCTTCATCATCCGTCTCGGGCACGAAACGATTGATTAAGACGCACGGGAAACCGGTCTCCTTTCCACTCCTCGGTCAGAAAAACTTTCCTACGCCCACGACACGATCTTTCGCAGGGCATCGTAATTTATCGAAACGTTAATGCATGCGTCACTCGACGAGCCGGAAGCAGAAACAGGTCAGGAAGGAACAGTCACAAGTCTCATTCCGACTCACCAATGCATTCATATTATAACGGAGAGAGACAGAGAGCAGAGCGTGGAGGGGAATGCCTGGCCGGCATATTCCCCTGGCCAGAGACGGGAGAGAAACCACGTAACACTTGGCTGCACCGGAGAGGGAGAAGACAGACTGGTTGGGTCTCGTTAAGACTGGTAGGACTTCAGGGACATCAACCACTAGTCACTCTAGTCCATCACATTCGCATCCTCCCCCTCCCCTCATTTTAGCGTCTCTCTTATTTTCGCGTTCCCCCTTCCTTCCTCCTTCGCTTTTCCCTGGATAAATCCAAGCGGAACAAGATGTCATGAAGTCTTTTCTTTAAATGATACTTTGGATGGGATGGATTCATTCCGATGGGACTTGGCTCCTTGCATGGAAAGCATCCAAACGTAATCGAATTTCGTCAGTAAACATGATAACATTTCGACCTACATATCTCGGCTTGATTGTGTAACTTGAAGGACGGTGGTCACTGTCTTAGAATTTATTCGTTCCTTCATTTATTCCCATGAATTCCGACGAACACGGGGGAAGTGAACTCAGTGAGACCGGAAAGTGAGGGAAACCACAAAAATACGGGGAGACGGTAGACAAATTGCTTCCCCTTACCTAACCCCCTTCCCCTCTTCCCCCCCCCTCCCCCTCCCCCCATTCACATTCCTCCAACAGGTTAAAGAAAAAAAAAGGAAGGCTGGGAGTTGCCATGTCATTCGTCCCTGGAGGCCCTCTCTCGGCGTCATCAGACATAATTTGACAGGGGTAGGATTGCGCAAGGGTCTCCGCTTTTTCACCTTCCCTTCGGGCAAGGTCTCGAATTAAAAGGACCTCTGCCGTGGTTCCGAATTAATTCAGTCAAAGCATCGTCCGTCACACTCGCACGGGGCAGTGATGGCTGGGTCTCTCCACTATTCTATTGTATCCGGAGAAACTCGTCGCGAAGGTCACGCTTATCACCTAGAGGCCGTCTCTCGTCCTTTCCAGGAAAAGCCGAATATGAACATCTGGAGAAAGGACATTCTCTGCAAGAGGAAAGTGGGCGGATTCCAGGTTATACCCGCTGATCCGAAGAGGATTTCGGTTGCAGTGAGCACCGCAGGTGAGAAAGGGCGGGGTCCCGTCGATGAAACGATACGAATGAACCTCATTAATAGCCTCTTCGAGAAGAAAAAGCCCTTGGGAATCGATGAGGGAAAACCACACCCTACCGATGCAGTTGATGGACGATGAATGAAAATATCAAGCTTCCGGGTGCGAGGCCATAAGTCATGATATCCCTTCGGAGAGATTCCGTCGGTGCAGCTGGACGTCTGCGAATGGAAACGAGCAGCTGCACGGTCCGGTTCTCCGACGTCTCCGACCCACCTAGTCCGACATTTCCTCTCGTGAAGAATAGGCGGCCATAATTCATCCGAGGGCTATGAATGCTTTGTAAAATTCGAGTAGAATTTCTCTACGTCGTCGGATTCCAAGGTGAGTCTGATCGTTGCGGGCAGTCGTATCGTGGCGACGCCCTAGATAGCTAGGGAGGCCGAGAAGCCAGGGAGGTGGGGAAGTCAGGGAGGTGGGGGAGCCAGGGAGGCTGGAAAACGAAGGACTACCATAATGGGGGCAGGGTGCGTCATTTAAGGACTGGATGTGGGGAAGCTTCCGCGAACGAGTGAGAAGTCTGCGGCACTCAGCCGAGTAATGGGATTAGAGCCTCGAGTGATCTCAGGGGTTGAAGCGCCCGACCGACTCGTTCCCGTTAGTCCTTCGCTCCGTGTTTGGCATTTCTCGTGCCACGGTCTGACGAACTCGACGTCATCATTCGCATGAGCGTCTCGACCGCCTGTGGGCATCCGTCACTCGGATGCCAAACTGATGGATATTCACGCGACGAAGATTCCCGCCTTGCCGATTCCATCCGTCCTGACTCTCTCGGCCGACGCTCGGGCGGAGGGGGAAGGAAAAAAGCCGTTTCGCTCTCTCTTCCCTGCTGCCGCGATCCGGAGACGAAGGCCCCGTCGAAGGCGATCGCGTCGCACCTGCACGAAAAGCTTCACGTTTCGAATTTTCCAACGCGTTCCTCTTCGGATCGACGCGTGCCAATGTCAGTCGATCCAGTGGTTGCCGACGTTTTTTGTGCACGGTGGCCATATCGAACAGAAGAAAAAAGTCATTGGAAAACCTGCCAGATACTACTCATGTGTCCCACGTCCTTGCAACGTTGGGGCAATGATATAGTCGACACAATCAGAAGTTTGAGCTAATCCATGTTCATCACACGCTACACTGCTCATCATACACTATGAGAGTTTAATGCTAACTTCTGAATGACGGAAACCAAAAATATCACCAGGAGAATGTAAGCAGTCCTTTCAAGAGTAGTTACAATAAATAAACAGTTATACAGGGTGTCTTTTATAAATAAACTCAAGTTCTTATGGCCTAGCCTATGACCTAGAGTGGCTTAACCTTGTAGTCCTCCCGCGTTAGGCCTACAAGGCTATGTCATTCTGGGCCATATAGGCTAAACCATAAGAAGTTCAGTATACTCTTAAAAGCCACCTTAAAAGAGCAAACAGGCAAAGGTATTATCGTATTGGCAGGAATGCCTTCTACGTTGTGAGAGATTTGGTGGGAATGACAGTTGCGGGGATCCTCATCGTGGAATGCCAAACGAAGTCTACCGGACAGACGAGCGATACGTCTACAAGAACTGGTCGCAGGGACCGGAGCCAACCGAAGGAAGGAGTGACCTGGGCGCGAAGGTGTCGCCGGTCGACCTCCACGCCAGAATGGCAACGTCGCGAATCGACGTGCTAGAGATGGCACGATGTCTGAAAACAAAAAGGAGGAAAACGTCTGAAAAAGTGGAAAACGTTGCGTGAATGTTCTCATTTATGCCTTCACATGACAAGACTCAAAACGGGTTCATACTTTCCATTGAAGGTGAACTCGTCGTACGTTCACGACGACAAACGAGCTAGCGTAACTTCATGCAAATGAGTCGGTCGGTATCATTCGCCCTGACTTTCGAGGTCTCTTTTTTTTTGCCCATAGGGTGCCCTAGGCCCAGCCCAGGTGGAGCCTCCACGCGGAGAATCCTCTGGTTGGTTCACGTTAGAGTGACGTCATCGGGCATCTCGCGCTCTCATTGGCTCTACATAAGCGATTGCAGCAAGATCAGAAAGTTCAGTTCTGCCAAATGAGAATTGAGAACAGACTTATTGAACTTAAGTTACTTCAGCGATCTACGTGATCGCGCGAGACTCCCGAACCGAATGGCGTCTAAAAGTCCTTTACACCTTTAATGGCTTTTATCAAGTTGTTCGTGAGATGACCAGGTCGAACTCGGATGATCCTAATCCTGATCCTGATCCTAACAGACGGCCGAATTGAGGGTTCGCGCACCCTTTCATCGAGAGTCTTGGTATTCAGCCAAGTCGCAATAAACTCCCAGGAGAGACGGTGGCATCTTCATCTCGACTGTCAGGTCCACGTTCCAACTTCATTTCCAACTCATCGTGTTTTTTTTTATTTTTTTTTTATCGCAGACGAGGAATCCGACAAGAAAAGTTTTCGTCTCCTTAAAGAGTTCAGAACTGACGATTGCTTGTCTATGCAAAAAAGTAGCATAATTTACTGATGATTAAATCTAATTTTCGTACATCATCCCTTCGGTTTTTGATCGTCCTGGCTCCTGTTTATAAATTCGTATAAAAATTATGAAACGCCTTCGAGAATCTGCTCATTTCTTTCGTCTCTTGGGTGCACCCAAGAAGGTGCACCCACTGGTGCACCCACAAATTCCTGTTTCCCTATTCAAAAATAGCTTTCCCTCGAGACGTTCGAAACCTTTTCCAACGTAGTGATTACCTGAATGCTGACAGATTCTCCACTATTTCTATTTCCTGTTTTTCCAGCTCGGAAGCAATAATAACGTGGTCAAAGATGACGAGCAGAATCCATTGATTCCAGAATGTTCTTTTCCATAATTAATGGAGATAAAAGCCACTTTTTGTTTCACCAATAAGCTTGCTTTCAAGGATTCTTCCCAATCATTCCATGTTTAATAAGGTATTTTAAAAAAATTTAATCGATGTTGACGGCTTCACCTGCAAGGTCTTAAAATCCATCTTGGCTTCATATCAACCTCTCATCTATGTGTTAAACCTGTCCTCTGATTCTCTAATCTTTCCTTGAGTTTTGTTGCGAGATTCATTATCGATTCACACGCAATAAGATGGAGATTCCGTTCGTCCGAATCCGAGATGACAGAGCAAAAAAAAAAGAGAAGCGTTTATCGAGTTACAGATCGGGACTCAATTCCTCGTTTCCTTTAGATAATGTTCTACATAATTATAAGGTATCACATATATATGTCCGCTACGATCCAACACTCACGTACTCAGGAAGATAAACGTGACGGTTTTTTTTCCCCTCTTGGCAATGGAGTTCTTCCCACTACAAAAAGTGGGAATGGATCGATGGAATGCAGGCAAGGGGGATCAGGGTGCAAATTAAAAATATATTTATGAGTCTCCGGCGGGCAGGGCGGAGGTGCGAATGAGGGGGGGGGGGGGGAAGGAGGAGGAAGGAGGAGGAAGGAGGAGGAAGGAGGAGGAAGGGGGAGGAAGGGGGAGGAAGAAGGGGCTCCTGATTGGCTTGGTAAGTTTCTTGCTATGTCTTTGCATGCAATTTGATAGTTGATGAATGCATTATGTTTCCGAGCATCCTTGCCACTCCATATCTGTGAATAGTGTCGAAAGGTAGG